TTTGCACATGCTGTTTATATTTACACAGTGCTTATTTTGATCTGTTTCTGCATGTCTAAAAGCAGTCCCACTATTTGTGCACGGTTTTTCTTATCCTTTTCTAACAGTGAACCATGAATTCAGATTTAACTTGTGCAAAATTACAGTTGTAGGTCTGGGTGTGACTGATGCAGGAGTTTGGTGATTTTCAATTGAAAGCCGATGTATTTAAAAAACTGAACAAGCATCAGAAAATTCTTCGGCAGAAAGACTGTTTTTCTACTCTTGTTTTTTATATATATATATATATATATATATATATACTCTGCCCTTGTTTTTTTTTCTTAATCCATTTCTTTAGACACGTCCATAAACATTTGTCTTTTTCCTACTCCTTCATCTTAACCTGAACTGATTTATAGGGCTCAATATCTTCCATAATAGCCAAATGAAGTTCTAATTGGATGAATCATTTAGGCTGCGTCTCTGAGGAGTCTGGAAGGTTTTTTTTAAAATATCTGTACATTTATGTAAAATTCAATAAAGTCTTTAAAAGGGAAAAAAAAGAGAAGCAATTGTGGTTTCTGAGAAGGTAATAGATGAGGGCAGTTGAGAAGTTCCAGCTCAGTAACCTGAGCTGAAAAGCAAGAAAAAAGGCAGGCTTGTAATCATGGGCCATCTTTCTTTTATCACATTACAGGAATGAGAAAGGCTTGTGATAAAAAAAAAATGGAAGGGGGAGGCTACTTTTTTCTGTGTGTTCTTCAACTCTTAGACTCTCTTAGGACTTCTTCTTCTTGTGCCATATCCGTTATCGGACGTTGGCGATCCTGTTGGCGATCCTGTTTTTATCAGCAGCCGCACGAAAAAGTGCTGCTGAGTTTTGTCCAAACCAGTCCCTTAGATTTTGAAGCCACGATGTTCTTCTTCTGCCTGGACCTCGTTTGCCTTCAATCTTTCCCTGAAGGATTAAATGAAGTATGCCGTATTTTTCTGGGTGTCGCATCATATGTCCGAAATATTCTAATTTTTGTTTTTTTAATTGTTTTGATGATTTCCCTTGGCTTTCCCAGGCGGCTGATCCCCTCCTCATTTCTGATCTTGTCAACCCAGCTTATACGTAACAGCCGCCTGTCAATCCACATTTCAAATGCTTCCAGTCTCTTCAGGTAGCCTTGTGTCGGAGACCAACTCTCTACTCCATAGAGCAGGATAGAAAAAAAATATAGCACCTGACAAGCCTGGTTTTCAGTCTTAGGCTTATGTCGTGACTGCAGAAGGCCTTTTTCATTTTGAAGAATGCCGTTCGGGCTTTTTCTATCCTTGTCTTTACTTCAGCGGTCACGTCCCAGCTTTCATGTAAATTGGAACCGAGGTGCGTGATCCTTTCAACTTTTTCTAGCGGTATTCCTTCTGAATTTATTGGTGGTAAATTAACGGGTTGTTTGCTCTTAGGACAGGGCTGCCCAATTGCTGTTAGCCAAGAGGACACACACCAGACTGTATGCGACATGTTGAGAGGCACTTTCTGAAAGTGGCCCCAGGAAGTTTAAAGGGACACCCACCCCCAAAAAAAGGCTCCTTAAGCATCTCCAAGTTTAAAGCACCAATTTTGCCCCCCGTTAAATCTCCCCAAATGATAAAACACACACAAAAATGGGCCACACCCATTTGGGGGGGGGTCTCTGGGTCCAGCAAGAATGTTCGTAGGCCACACTTTCTGAACCTCAGTTTTTAGATAAACCTGGAGATGTTGCTGCCAAGAGTTTCTTTTAAGCACCACACCACACTACCCCTCCCACAAACATCTTGAATTCTGCACAAAGGCAGCTATCAGTTTGAATATTAATCGGCAGCCGAACTTCCAT